ATCCAAGTCATGATTTAAAGTTAGCTGTTGTGGTATTTGCTCTAAAGATTTGGATAAATTATCTATATGGTGAAAAGATACATGTATATACAGATCACAAAAGTCTCAAATATCTGTTTACACAGGAGGAGCTAAATATAAGACAGCGCCGATGGTTGGAGTTAGTGAAGGATCATGATATGCAGATCCTTCATCACCTTGGCAAAGCTAATCTAGTAGCTGATGCTTTGAGTCGTAAAACAACTCACTCATCTGCAATGTTGACGAGGCAAACCAACATTCAGATGGAGTTTGAACGATCTCAGATAGTTGTTTTAGTTAGGGAAGCGACAACTCAGTTAGCTTTTATGACTATCTGCCCGACATTGCAGCAACAAATTATTCAAGGTCAACAGAAGGACCCTTATTTTGCAAAAGTCATGGAGCAACTTGAGACTGAACAAGTCAAAAATTTCTTGATGACAGGTGATGGATGTTTGAAGGGGCAGAATCGAACTTGTGTACCTAACAATGTAAAGATCAAGAGGAAGATTCTATCTGAGGCACATGAGTCACTCTATACTGTACATCCAGGTGCCACGAAGATGTATCAGGATTTGAAGACATGCTTTTCGTGGCCTGGAACGAGTTGTTGAACATTATAAATATGTGGATGCATGCAATAGAATGTGAGCATGCTATATGTGTATACATTGATAGAAAAGTTATGACTACAGGATATGCTTATAGTTGTTGAGTCCTGATCTATTTTTATAAGTATTGTAGTCTACTAATTCCAGCGGAGTTCCTAACCAACACGTTGTGTGTTAAATTAAGAACAACGAGTATTCCTGACCGTTGGTATGTATGATGTTACAGGCCACCAGAGAAATTAGTAAATGAGTCGTATTTGACCGAGAATGAGTCTTACATACGAGTCCAAAAATTCTAAATAAGCATATAGAAAGTCAGTAACGTAAGCTAGAGGTAGCTGAAATACCTTATTAGCGAACAAATGATCCTAATGAAAGAAGCTAGGAATCAATGGTGAATAAAACTTAAAAACAGCAGGAAAGATAAGTAAGAAACTTGTGAATGACAAGTTAGCAACTTATCGAGTAAATTAATTACTCATCAAAATTATTTTAACTTTTCTTTCCAAGTATAGATGATGTAGACCAACCGAGGACGAGACCAGCGAGCTAGAGACTACAAGGAATCCATTTCTAAGTCTGTTTTATGTACATGTGCTTTCGCTGTTGAAAACTTACTTTGGTTATTTTTGTGTTGTAACAAGTACTGGATTTACATGTTTTACTTGTTATGTACGAAAATGTTTTGGTTTTTTATGACTGGTTTTCGAAGTAAATGGTCTATGTCAGTGGTAACTCTGGTGAATCGAGCTGTCTATGAGCCGGTGTTACATTTTATTTGCTTTCAATCTTTTACCTTTCCTAAAGATATGATTAATATCCGTCAAGGGTCATGTTCTGTCTCATTCAATATTATCTCTTGGTTAACTCAATCTAGTTTTTATTTCAATTCCAGAGTCTTCAAAGACTTCCAATACGTATTCGAAGGCAAGTTTTCAAAGCAAATCTTCTACTTGAAAGAAAATCTCAAGCATCCTTGTAACCACCATCAAGTTCTTCTATCAATACAATCTTTCGATCCTAATTCTCTTAATCCGCATTCGATAGACAGATTGTTTGAACTTCGAGCAATTGGTATTAGAGTCAAGTTATCAACAAAGTATCCATTCGATTTTGAGACTAGATCCTCTAATCAATCTCTTTGTTTTAAAATTATTGATACCATCACATTCTACAAATTTCATCTTTTAGTTCTTATCAATTGTTGTCGGGTGTGTTTGCTCCTTTGTCACCAAGGGTTGTGAGTGGCCAAAAGATGATTCCAAACATCCTCTAACCACTTCTCCCTCCCCTAAAATGCTCTAGTTTCTCCTTAACTGGATATGGCCACATTAGATGGAAGAAAGTAACCTCCAACAGCAATTTATCTTTCTCTTAAAAGAGTGGGTGAATTAAGATCTCGTCAAACATATGACGCAACCTTAGCGACGCTGAAACAACTTGAGAAGACTTCAAAATCTTCCTAGAATCAATCTAGCAAACTGGCACCACCAATATGACATGATTATAATCTTTGAGGTCATCCCTTCAAATGGTACACCATGAGGGTAAGAAACCACTAAGGATGGCCTCTGAATGAATGCACGGTGCTAGTCCTACATCTAGAAACCAACCAAGCAAAAAAGTTTATTTTCTTTTGAATTTTAACTTCCCCAAATTTCACAAGAAAGAGGATGGTGAACAGGAGATAATACCAGTCAAGAAATGAGAGACTTGCAAGAAAAATGCATAATGAACCTCAAGACCCCATGCCTATGATTCGAAATCCAGATTTGGACCTAATGATCCCGGCATTCCCCTATGACATGATCACATTACTTACTTCTCGCTCCTAAGACGGAAGACTATCTCCACATACCAATACAGGTCATTTCAGCCTGTTTTTTCTTCACTCACATGCTTCCTCAGAAAATTCCTAGGAGGTCACCCAATATAAGATAGATTCAAGCAAAGCACGATTAACTTTGGAGTTCTTTGACCTACCAAAAAGGAAGATGCACTTTGTTGGTATAGGTAGTAACTTTCAATTCTTATAAGTCATTCTAAGTCATCCTATCCTTAGGATCACTCACATTCGGATGTGTTCTCAGTTCATCCATGTATCCCTTCTTTACTCGGATGTAACACGACCCATTGTCCAAATTGGTCTAGTGAACCATAATAAAGAAACACAAAGTGTGAAACTAACTAGCAGTTTCCTTTCTATGATGCAATGATAATAAAAGGATAATTCACTGAATGCAGATTATAAAACCAAGAAAAAGAAGAGCAAATCAGACTGCGATCAAGCCAATGGCAATGATCTTCACAAAATCTAACTCAGATGTCATCCTTAACCCTGTGGTGAATAAAATTTAAAACAAAGTCATCTTGTAAATTGGTTAGCCATTTCAATTTCCACAAATAAAGCGGGATGTTGGAAAATCTACAGAGTAGAAATAAGGATTTGGTGTCAAAATGGATATGGAGTTTCCCAAAAGACAGATTTATGGCATTACATGATAGCCACTCAGGAAGCCTGGTCTCACTCCTTCACGACCAACATTATCCCAAAAAAAAAAGCCTAAACATTCGAGGGGCTAACGTTAAAAACTTGGAAAACGGAAAATTTTCTACATTTTCCCCTAAAGCTCTTAATGCTTACCATGAAGCCCTTAGAAAAATTCATTCTAGCCTCAAGGTTGCTATAATCTAAGGATTTTCATGGTGCAAATGATTTTATAAACTTTGATAAAATCAGAATGAAAACAAAACTAGTAATAATAAAAGAGATCCAATAACATAACATAATAAAAAAAACACAAGAAAACGAGAACTTCATTCTTTCCCATATGGAAGCCTTCAAAAAGACTGAACTCCTTTTAACCCAAAAATCTAAACAAGAATGGAAGGATCCAAAGACATTGAAATCAAGACCTTCAAACTTGTGCAAACTATACTCTCCTGGGCTAAGGAGAATTTGATTTCATGCTGTTTGGGAACCTCTAGTCACATTCTTTGTTTCTTCAGATCCCTTGTTAACTCTCTAATACCCAAATGGCAGTTCAGATGCAGGATCTCCGAGATTCTTAAATGAAACTCTTAATCATTCAAATGATAATACAACGCAAATCAAGATTCCGAAGGATAATGGTAAAACACTTCCCACACATCCTCATACCCAGCCAACCAAATCATGTCATTTCACAACCTTAAGAGAGAACGTAACAGCCATAGCCAAGTACCAAAATTACAGTAAAAATATACAAAATTCAATACAACATACATCGCTAAGATGCATATAGGATCAGAGACTTACACACTGAAAGTTCCTGAAACGGTTTCATTGGCAGACCTAACAGCACTTTCGAGATCGAATCCGATTCCCAAATTGGAGCTGCTATCCTCAGAAGCTTGTGATTCTGCGTACGAATTCCAATCAGCCAGCAACGAAGAGGACGATTTGAGTTGATTATCACTCCCACTATTACCCCCTTGCGTGAACCATCCCTGCGCCGCTTTCTGCATCGTTTTCTCAGTTCACAAACAGCCCTTTCCAAATCAAAACAAAAAATAATCGAAAAAAGTTGCAGATTTGCTTTCGATTTGGGAAGTTGATATTGGATTGAGGAATCGATATCGCTGGGAGAACGCGAACGATTTTCGCTTGTTTTTTCTCGAAGGCAATAGTAAAGAAGAAGCCTTGGAAACGAAGAGAAACCAGCAACAGCCCAAAATTGATTTACAAAAGTTTATGAGAAAAAAAAAATTAAAAATTAAAAATTTATTTTCGGTAAGAATATTTTTAAATATTTTTAAATTTAAATATTATAAAACTTTTGAAAGTATTTTTTAAACAAAATGTCATTTATTCGTAAATATCGAATTTAAATTTATTATAATTTCATTCAAAAATTTTATTTTAGTCAGCGGTAGTTTTTTTTTTTTTTTTTTTTTTTTTTTTTTTTTTTTTTTTTTTTTTTTTTTT